TGGGGTGGGACGAGTAGGTTAGAGGGGAAAGAAAGGTAGGACGTGAGAGGGTAGGAAATCTAGAGAGAGAGAGAGCACAGAGAAAATGAGATAGCGAGCCCTAAAAAACCCTAGTTTCAGCCATCCTTAGATCAAGAAAACCCATTCAATCAGGCTAAGGCCTGGTCAAAACCTGAAGAGAGAAAAATAAGAGGACACTAGTTCTGATACGGGCGAGGCCTCGAAAGCTGGGGAGTTCCGGGCCATCTGGCCCGGTTTGGTATACTTCTTTACTCTAACTTGCTTCCTTTTCTGCTTCTATTTCATTTTAATTAGATTAGATTAGTTTTATTTGCTTTTATTTTGTGTTCGTATTCGGATCAATGCTAGCGTTGTCACTGATCTGAGAACAGATCCGCTTGTTTCTAGGCGGATTTGGCCTCAGATCAGAATTCGATTTTCCCCACATTCTCTATCACTTTTCTTAAAATCAGTTTGCGGTGTTCAGATCTGAGGGATCTTCTTCTAAAGATCGTTTTGATTTGCATTGTAAACACTAAGCATGTATTTTAAAATTAAATTGGATGTTTTGAGAAAAACCTAAGGCTATGAATATGGTTTTGAGAAAACCCCACAATCTTGCTAGGTCCACTAAATTGTTATGAAATATCATTCTGAACCACCATACTATTATCTAACTATTGCTTATGAATGTATATATACTAAGACAATAGCCTTTTGATTAAAGAGAAAAACATTGTGTCTTGAAGATATATATAAACTTGGGAGAAAAATTTAATTTATTCATGCACTGGTTTTTAAATATTTATATGACTTGACCCATATTTTTTTTAGTTATTTAGAATCCTCGATTACCTAAGACCTTGAACCATATGAAATGTTGTAGAAAGACCATCTTACAAGGCTTCATTGACAAATATTATGTTAGATAACTTGGTTTGTATGAATTTACTACCAATTTTCAGACTTGTGCGGTTGAACATTTGTGGTTCAAGAAGGTTTTGCATATTGTAAAACCAACAGGCATTGAATTACTTATTGTATAAGATTTGTTATACTACTTTATGATATAAGCATAAGAATACTAAGAATGTATATGCTATATGTGCATTAATTGAGTGGGAACTGCTACAGTCCCTCATTTTTTTAGCTATTTGGATATTCAGATATACAAGTACTCTATCATGAAAGATCTAGATAAACTAAATATTCCAATGGGAGCACCTGTTAGTGTTTGACAGGCCAGTTGGAACAACATACAATAATGTTGTTCACCATAGAACTCGAATGTGTGGTTATATGGCTATAGAATAGAGCAGCTTGATTGAGTGACTCATTTGAGCTCATGAAGATACGACCCCATGCCATGAAGGTACATGATGATCTTCTGCAATAACAAGTCTATGAGCAATCCGATAAGAAAGATTGACTACGACCACGTTCAGGATGAGATACGAGTAGCAAAGGGAAAGAGATGTTGCCTCCATAAATCATTTTGTGAAATAATTGATGGCGAAAACCACGACTAATGCATTGAGAGAGAATAAGTGAAAAAGGCATGAAAGAGATATTGTAATTGGGAGAGATCGAGAATAGCTATATACCTACAGAGTTAATGATAATAGACCCTCTTGCAAAGGGGGTTACACCTAATGTTTTGGTGAGACATGAGAGAGAGCTGGGGATGAGAGAAAGTGAAGAAGATAAAATAGAAGGACTTCAAAGGCCAAATGGGAAATGTTGGGTATGTGTGGCTATTAAAAGCCTTATGAGTGCTTGTAAAATGAAATTATATAGTGGAACATGAACTCAGTGGGAGTGTGGGACCACGCTAAACAAACGATGTTTGCTGATACTGGACCGTGCTTGTCATGCTAGGTCGGTTTGGTTGGAGAAAATCCATGTTTCCTGGGCTTGGAGAATCATACCGATGAGGGTTTTATGAGTTATCCTTTGATGAGGTCGGAGTATAATCGGATGAGTGAGCAGAAGGACTATGTGACCCTTGTGTGTGATAGAGGCCTTCAGAGATGAGGCCAAAGCCTCATCATTTGTACTATCCCACGGCATATACATCGATAGCCAATTTCGAGCAAGCGTACCACCTTTTAAGGTGAAGCGTGTGCATGTACGAGAGATACCCCCTGTGCACCATTGAGCCATGGATTGTATCAGGTCAAGATGACCTTGATCTGAAATCTATATACTGAGACTACGACCCCTTTCCCATTGGTTAGACTTTGGTGACCCACTAATGATCCCATGCATGGACTGTGGGTTATGGGTAACGTTGCGTCAATTTAAGAAAGTATGAGTGGTTCGTAGTTCGTGGTTGGACATGGAGGGGCCCAGTGGATATTTATTCATCGACTATATGGATCATTTTCCCATCAAAATTTTAATTTTGTTTATTTTAATTATATTTTATTTTTAGAATTATTATTTGAATTTTTTTAAAGCTCTGGATATTTTATTTATCAAATTTGGATTCATAAAAACAGAGATATTAATTTTATAATGATTTATTATTCAAATAATAATTTTGTGTATTTTAAAAAATATAAAAATAACTTAAATTGTATAGAAGGCCCAATAAGTCTTTTGCGTCCACCATTGTATATTGGGTGGAGAACATTATGTGCTACCATGGGTGGCACGCCCCACCTATAGCACCTTCTAATTTTGTGATTAAGTTAGAAGGCTTGAGAGATAAGAATATATTGATTTTAGAAAGTTTAAAGCCTTAACGAATATTTGAATGATATTTTGGAATGTATGAGAAGACTTATGCCCCAAGTAAGAAATGATAATATTATAATATAAATTTCTTATTTGAATTAATTGATAGAAAAATGATTTAAGCAGTGGGGGATAATGGTCCAGCACCTTCCATAAGATGTTGATGGTCCATTTATAGATTGGAGAGCCTTGATCTCTTACCTCACAATTCATCCAAAATCAATAGTGTATATTCAATCACACATGAGTGGCAAGCCAAGAAAAACTTTAATCTTGTTCAAGCACTTAAAAAGAGGAATTCCCTATCCAAAATCTCTACCCTTTATCTTTTACTTATACTTTTCATCTCTCTTGACCTACCAAAGGAGGCACAACCCACATAAAATATATCTCTTTCCAATAGAAACTATCTCTCACTCTTCTATCTTGAAAGCCCTAAAGGGGGCACGCCCCACTATCTCTCTCGTCCATGGTTTATCTCATGTCTTCTTCTCTCATGATATTTCATCTATTTTTTTTGTTTAAGCTATAGGGTTGTGGTAGAAAAGAAAAGTATCTCTAACAAAATAGATTGCTAAGGCGATTCACTTAGGGTTTGAGTTTGTGATCAAAGGGGTTCATGTACCATTGGTGTGGCTTATCCAAACTTGTTTTTCTAGTTTAGATTAAAGTTGACCATTAGATCCCGCGCTATCGGAAGGTGGCGACTCGGTGTGGGGTGTAAGAAGTTGCTTGAGGTAATCTCCGATACCCAATTTTGTTTCGCCCGTATTTATATATTATATTTTTTATTCTCAAGTATAGGTTGTGTCTTTTCTTCGTTAATGAAAAGTGTGGTTTTGAATGGTTTCAAGTTCTTGAAATCCTATTGTATTATTTTATTTTATTTTATTTGAAGTTGTTATCTTTCAAAAGGATTTCTTATGAGTGATCTATACCGTGCATAAAAGAAAAAAAATTGAATAAGAAAAAAAAAAAATTGAAAATGAAAAGAAAATGATTGAAAAATTACCTTTAAAAAAAAAAACAAATGATACAAGGTGATCACAAAATTATTAAAAATATTTTTCGAACTGTGATACATCCAAACTATCAAATTTCATATCAAATGGTTGTAAAAAATTGTGACCATTTTATATCAAAAGTAAATGATATCATTAAAAAAAACAAAAAATATAAAAAATTAATAAAACAAAAATTGATTTACGCGCAAGAGAGGGCACCTGCCCAACAGATCGGGTTGCCGCCACCTCTCTCTCCGTGCCCCTATATCTATTTCTCTCTCCTCTCTCTCTCCCCTATCTCAGGAGCTGTCCCCCCCTTTCTTTACCAATTACTCTACTAAACTTGAGAGTTTCTTTCACTTATCTCTTTACAAATCCTTATCTCTGCTGTTCATTAATTGTCTCTCTCTCAAGCGACTTGCTTTTTCTTGGTCTTTTGTGGTGAGTTGGTCCAAGCCATGGAAAGTTGAAAAGGCTGTATGCAGGTTGGGAAATAAGACCCGAGATCCGTGCCTTTTAAGAATGTGTGACTCTCTCCCCCTCTCATAAAACTTTTAAAGGTATTGTGGTTATTTTATTTTATTAAAAATATATTTTTATATTTTTTTATTAATGTAAATTTAATAGAGAAATAGATGTTTAAAATTTAGGGTTAAAATAATTTATTAAAGAAATAAAAAATAAAATAATGTAAGGATGCGATATCGTGATTAAGACAATCTTAACCCTCTATTTAAAACAGAGGGATGGATAAAGAGAAGATAGAACTTCTACGCTAGGGAGCTTGCCCTATTAAAACAACTACCCAAGGGCTTGAAATCTAACAACCAATACCTACGTGTATGAATCCAACTTTTGAACTTAATAGATCGGGTCAGCGTCGAAAACCTAGACCTAAATACTATTAAGGTTTGGGTTTGGGTTTGGGTTTGGGTTTGAGTCCAGCCAACCTACCCATTGCCACCCCTACTATCCCTCCCTCTCTCTCTACGCCTAGAACCCCAAACGACCTAATTAATTAATTTTTTTCTCTGTCTCTCTCCCCCTGGAACCCTTATAGCCAAATGTTTAGTGGGCCGTTACTTTTTCCCAATTTCTAATATGTTTTTAAGGGGTTCTTGGATAGGGGCGAGTTGCACCCCAAACTCGCCTCACCGTGTGAGACCGAGTTGACTCAGCTGAGTCACGGAACACTGATCCATATCCATGGCGTCCAAAGTTTCAAGAGTTTGGTCAGTCAATTTTGTATTTCCATGGTAGGAGAAGGAGAAAACACTTAGTTCATAACCGTATTGGTCCAGCAATAATACATAGAAATTGAAGCAAGTATCATACACAAAGCACTCAAAAAGTAGTGTAACAGGGTTTAGGGATGGAGCAAAAGGAATTTCTAAATCCCGTTTGGTTTATGGAGCGGGGAAGACCTTGGGGTTACGGGCAACAGAGGTGGCGGCGAAGAGGGCGGCTTCCGCATACTGGCGCGCGGCCATTTCTGCAGTGACGCCGAGGTATTTTCCGGTGGCCTCAGCAGCCTGCCCAGCCCTTGCGAGCTGCTCCAGATCCTTCTCCGCTAATTCGACGGTGCCGCAGAGGACCGCATTAAGCTCTGCCTCAGCCTCCCTCATGGAGGCATGCGCCCGCTCCAGGGCCAGATCCGCAGTTGCATCCGCGGCCGCCCAGCAGGCATCAGCCTCAGCCCCGAACGCAGCCATGAGAGCTTCTAACTTTGCTGGATCAAAATTCTTGTCCTCCAAGGCCTGCTTCGCCAATTCTGACAGCTTGGAGAGCAGTTCATCCATCTTCGTTCTCATCAAAATCTCTCTTCCCCTCTCCCTCTCTGATCAATCTTTCTTCCTCTCTCTCTCGATCGAGAAAATAATTTTTATTTATCAAAAAGGAGATGCCATCGGTCTCATAAAGGCCACTCGATCATGGGACACTTCTCAAAAGTGCTTTGCAGCTGGCGGTGGATCTCAGCATGCTCTACATTTTATTCCCCTAGGGTAAAACCCCATTTAAGATTAATTTTAGTACAATTGTTTCATGCAGCCTGGACCGCATCCGTCGGAGGTATAAACCATCAAGATGGATAGGTGGTTCATAAAAAAAAAAAAAAGATATATTGAAATTAAGATGTAAATTTTTTTTTTATAGAAATATTATTTTAGTTTTTATATTTTATTTATTTATTTTTATATTCATATTCTTGACCTTAAGGACTATATATTCTCTAAAAATTAACATCAAAGTCTTTTTCAAAAATAAATTTATCTAAAGGCGCGCAGTTTAAAAGGCCAAGAAAATAATGTATTTAAAACGATCTTCAAGACATTGGCACTGAAGTAAATAGATTGAATGATTGTGCGTATATCTTAAAGAGTGAGTGTAAATTCACAGCACTTTCATTATATATAGATGGTATCCGAATAGCTGGAAATGATTTAAAAATGATTGATAAGATTAAGTCATTACTTTCTTCTCAATTTGAGATGAAGGATATGGGAGAAGCATTTTATGTCCTAGGTATAAACATAACTAGAGACAGAAAATAAAAAATATTGTGCTTGAGTCAAGAGAGATATCTTGACTCTGTTCTCAAAAGATTTAAAATGGAAAATTGTTGGTCGGTTTACTCTTGTTGAAAAAGGAGTACAGTTATCAAGGAAGGATTGTCTAGTAGAAGGATAAGAAAAACCTAACATTCCCTATGCACAAGCTATTGGTAGCTTGGTATATGCAGTAAGATGTACAATGCGACATTTGAGATATGCCATAGGACTTGTTAGTAGATATCAAAGTAATTCGGGCATAGCTCATTGGAAAGCAGTAAAAAGAATTCTAAAGTACATTAAGGGAACAAAACATCTAAAATTGTGTTTTCAAGCAAATAAGCTTGAAGTTATCGGATATTCAGATGCAAATTTTGCTGGAGATAAGGACGATAGTAAGTCAACCTCAGGATATATTTTCCTCTTTGGAGGGACAACTGTTTCTTGGTCTACAAGAAATATGGGTGTGTAACTAAGTATACGCAAGAAGCTGAATACATTGCATGTAGCACTGCTTATACTTTCGTTGTCTGGAAGCGTTTCATAGATAACTTGAAGCTGTAAATAATCAATTGACCGATCCAAATGTTTTGTGATAATCAGGCTGCAATTAAATTAAGTGAAAAGTTTATATAAAGCCGAGGCTCTAAACAATCACATTCGAGCCTCCCTCAAAAATTTCACTAGACGAGATTGTTTTGATGCCCAAAAATCCTCAAATTGATCATCTCGACATCAAGATGCATGGACATGAGAAAAATTTTGATTTCAAGTTTTGGAAATAATGTATTTTGTAATGTATTTTTTTTCCGTCAATTTTCAAGATTTTCAAGTTTTCATAGATCTATCGATCTACAATATTTTTTAAGCTTTAAACTTTATAAATAGATGAAATATATTTTAAGGCAATCACAAAGATTTCCAGTGTTGGAACCACATTTATCGACACTATTTAAAGTTAGGCTCTAATTTGATTTTTTAGAGCCTAGACTTTATACAAACCACACCCTTAAATTAATTCAAAGTTGAGCAAATAGCTCCAAAGGAAGACATATACGTGTCCAATATCACTACATTCAGGATGTAGTTGAGAAAGATGAAATAACTGTTAGCTACTTGCCCTCATCAGATATGATCGCTGATCCATTGACAAATGGTCTAAGTGTTGAACTACTGTCTAAGCATACTAGCTTAATGAGACTTAAAAATGGTTAAGTTAGTCAGTTTTCATGAGTAGCAAATCTGTATCAGCGTGAATATCCTCATGATAGACGTTTGTTATAAGAGACATATCCGTAAAAGTGTGAGAAAAACCTCATGACAATATATTTTCTTAAAAGTCATACTAAAAAATGGGAGTATGCATCGGCCATCATAGCCAAGTGGGAGATATTGACACGTATGGTTATGAAGCCTTATATGTCTTAGCCTACATTTGTGGAAATTCAATATATCCAACGATCATATCCATATGAATGTAATCCTTCGTCCAAAGGTCATATTCATATCAACATAACTCTTCAAAAACCTGTTGGAGATCAGAGAACCCCTTCATCTTCTCAGAGACCCGTTGGAGAAATACAACAGTAGCCCCTTCTTCTCCCTATAAATGGGAAGCCAGAGAGATAATGTCAATAATAAGAAATAGGTGTTCTCTCTCTCTAAAAGTGAAAGGCTAAAAAAAAATCCGGGCTCTGTGATCACCAGTCTTACGACATCTGTTCTTTGATCTTCGATTGGTCTTGTGCCACATCAAATATTTACTAACACTTTACATGTGCGGGCTTGGTCGCATGCTAACAGAGTCCTTAATTTTTAAGATCCTAAATTTGAGATATAACCTCTCAACTTATAGATGGACCTCAATAAGAAAAATTTTCTAATTTTATTTTACACCCACTTGAAAAAATAATGTCCAAAATTGAATAGAGACTATCTAATTTTTAAATCATAATATCCAAAATTGAATAAAGTGAGATCCAAGTACTAAAAACCTCAAATTTCAAATAATCTAGTGATTCTTATATGGTTCCCAAAGTTTCAAATTTCAAAAAATCCTCCCGAAATAAATATACACTATGCTCCCGAGGGAGTATACTATAATGTGGCAGTATCTATTCTATAAAAAGCGGGGCGCTCCGGGAGGCCCCCGAGTCCGGGCTGCCCACACGTCGCCACCGTTCAGCTCTGTGGTATGGGACTTCTGCAACCTCATCTATTAAGCTTTTTTTTTTATTTTTTATTTTTTATTTAAGGTATAATAACGGTAGTCCTGCGGGTTTAAAAACTTATAGTGAGACTGTATGTGTTTTGCAGCGACTCTTTCTGAAAATTTATATTTATGCGTGTGAGCTTGTTAATATGAGAGAAAGCTATTATCTCTTCGTTGGTGGATGGCATCGGATGTGAGGTCCAAATAAATAGTGTGTGCATCGGTCTCCCATTTTGCTTCTCTCTACTCAACGCATGAAGGGCTTCTCTCGACTCTGCATTCCTTTGCGTCTCTCTCTAGCAGACGACGATTCTCTTTCTCTGAGAAACTGCAACTGTTCCAGGTTCTTCCTCTTCCTTTTTTCTTTAAGTGTTCACTGTAGAAGGGGTTCTTGCACAGAGTTCTTTCGAAGAAAATTTGATTCGCTTTCAGATTGGGGGTTTTACCAATTTTTATATAGATTTTTTGTTCGAAATCATGGTTCTTTTTTAAATTAGCATTCTACAAAAATAAGCTCTGATTATTTGTGCCACTTTTAGAGTTGATTTGTACTTCTTGTTGCAGAATTTCCAGCATAAATTTAGATCTTTTTATTATTAAGAAATAAGTTATTCTATAGTATTTGAAGCATTCCTTTGTAATGAAGTTAGGGTTTCTCTATGAGATTTGATTTTACTATGTTTGAAATAGGGTTTCTTAATGAAAGAAGAATAGCTCTAAAAAATCTGGGTTTTCCCTCTGAAATCGTATGAATTACAATATGTTTTCTTGTTTTCGGGAATTTATGAAAATATGTCTCCTTTTCTTGTTCCCATAATCACAAGGCAAATGTCTAGAATGTGTTTGGAGTTATTAATGTTCCAAAACACACACAAATAGTGACACCTTTGGGATATTTCTATGGAGACGTATCCCAATGCATTGAATTTTTAGATTCTTTTTACATTCCTATTTCCTTATGATAATCTCAAATGAGTTTTCCTTAAAAATAGTAGAAAAAAAAAAACGCTAATATTATGGTTTTAATTGGGAAACCAAGATCATCGAAACATATACATGAGAAAAGTAATATTTCCAATACATTATTAGAGAACTTATCACAATGAATTTCCATCAGAAAAGAATAATAAGAATCTCTGCGAGATTGAATTATACTATCTCAATTGAATAGAATAATAAGGTATAAAACAATCATAAGTATTTTGAGCAATGCTTGCATATCTGAGTTCGTAAAAGGGTATGGAACAAGGCCCACATATCCTATGAACAAAAGGGTATAGAATAAAGCTTGCATATTTCATCGAGATTGACTAAAATAATATGAACAAAACTTGTTATAAAGCTTTGGCCATAAAACTCTTTGTGAAATCAATGGAATTTTAAGGTTTGAAATTTAACTGAATTATAGTCCAAGCATATTTGTCGCAGCATGGAAAATTTTCAAGGCCATTAAACCTTGGTAGAGATACGCTATAAGATAGTTTCGATGCGAAATAAAATAACAAATGCACGATAGGCACTGCATGTTGGTCATTCAAGGATTTTCCATATATCGTTATAAACGCAAACATAAAGGGTACCACCATATACTCTGACAAATAAAGGAAATTTTATATACCTGGTATACACTCCCATCTACAAACAACGGACTCCCTATAAATACAGAGAATCTGAGAAGTCCTGGTCATACTAAATTTACAATATTTATGTAAACATATTAATCTGAATTATTTATTCTTATTTCTTTGGGTCATTATGAATGTAATTTTCTTGATGACTGAGATTGCTTTCCTCTATTGACCAACACAATATGTCGTAATGACATATTTATAATCTTTGATTGCACCTGAAAAGCACATTTCTTCAGGTCTCCAAAGAGGACTACATCTTTATATGTGATTGGTCTAGAAACCAATTGATTGCAACAACAAATTGAAAAAGTTTGAATGGTTATTGGCTTGAGACTGTACTTTATTTGTATTCATTGGCAATGCCTTCTTCATTGTAATCCTTTGTTACCATAGGAGGATTAGACCTTTGCAATGAACTATTTCACTCGAACTTGACCCCGGATATTCAATCTATGGTAATATTTAATTGGACAAGGAAAGGTGAATTCCTATGTGTCACTTTTTCCTTGATACAATTTTCTTATAACACATTTGAAGTTAGTATTCTCATTTATTTTATTATATTTCAATTTTCAAATGATCATCGAGAATAATTTAATGAATTTTTCTTTTGCCATCTACAAAATCTTATTCTCTCTCTCTCACACACACACACGGAGACCATCAACCTCATCATAATCTTGGTAAGCATCTCTCTCTCTTATGCTGTAATCTGAATTTTTTTTTTTTTGGATCATTGTTCTTGATGAATAAGATTTCTTTTCTCTATTGGCGAACATAATATGTTGCAATGACATTTGGAACCTCTGATTGCACCTGAAAAGCACATTTCCTCAGATCTCCAAAGAATACTAGATCTTTATACGTGATTGTCTTAGAAACCAATTCATTGCAACCAAAAATGCAAATGGTTTTAACGGTGATTGGCTTGACTAGTGTGGTTTATTTGTATTCATTGTCAATGTCTTCTTCATTGTAGTTGCCATTGGAGGATTGGACCTCTCCAATGAACTATTTGATTCGAACTTGATCCTGGATATTGAATGTATACTAGTTTTCAATTGGAGGAGGAAGGATGATTTCCCATGTGTTGCTTTTATGTAAACTCAATTTCTTGATGTACTGTGTTTAGCAATCATTGATTTTTGACATCTTTCAAATAAGAGTTGGAATAGTTAAATTTATGTATTTGAGATAATAACGCATCACACTCATGCAAAACTATCACATGAGGAAAACTTATTTATCCTTAAAGGGCGTTCAATTGCGGTCATTGGTTGCGATATGTGTTTGATCAAAGAGAGTACCTCAACAATAGCATGATCCTAGGCTAATATCATTCCAACTAATGAGATTACCTTCATATTACTTTGGCAAGCAATGGAAAAAGCATTATTTATATTAAATATTACATATATGAAAATGAATAGGCCCTGATATTCCTTTTGAATTCTTGTATTATAGGAATTTGTTACATGATAGTACTGTCCACGCTTTATTTTGGTAGGCAACCATTCATTCTATTAAATATTGCAAGAGAAATCTCATATTGGTCTTGGGATTGCACACAAAAGTAATGACCTGGAACTATTTGTTAAAGGTGAAAACAGATGGTTCGAAGCAAAAGGAATCCGTCAACATGAGAATGAACCATTTGTTAAAGGTGAAAATAGATGCTTCGAAGCAAAAGGAATCCGTCAGCATGAGAATGAACTATTTGTTAAAGGTGAAAATAGATGGTTCGAAGCAAAAGGAATCCGTCAACATGAGAATTTCTACATGAGAATTTCTTCACTCAATTGATTCTCTAAGTATTTCATATAAGCTCACTTATAAATGCATCTGATGAATGCTAAACTTTGATTTCCACATATACTTGTGCAGTGTGCACAAGTTACTGTCAATTTGCTAGCATCTCTCACATATGCATAGAATATGATTAGTTACTTTTGTAACACTGTGGCCAGCATTGATGTATATATCTATAAATAGGAAAAAAACGCATATAGGCGAAGTGCTATGGATGACGTGCTGTCCGTTGCGGTACTGCATGATTTTTTTTTATTGTCATGGATCTAGTATGTCCGTGATGGTGCCGCTACGGACATGTTAGGTCTGTGGCGGTCGAAAAATGCACGTCGCTCAATGGTTTTTCAGGCCGTAATGAGCCTATGGTTTTCGTCCATAAGCATTGTGTGTCGGGTTTATGTGGCCTTTAAAAGTCTTTTGAAAGCTTGTATGTGCATTTTATATAGTGAAAAATAAACTCAGTAGGATTGTGGTCTTCTTGTGGACCATATTAGGCAAATGCTTTTTGCCGATACTCGAACTAGGCCCGACATGTTAGGCTTGCCGAGTTTGGAAAAATCCAAGATACCTGGACATAGAGATATAACTGAGGAGGGTTTAGTAGGTTAGCCCTTGATGAGGTCAGAGTATGCCCAGATGAGAGCCGAGGGACTGTGTGACCCTTGTGTGCGATGAATAGCCTTTAGAAACAGGGCTAAAACCTCATCTTTGTATCATCACACGACATCTATATAGATGTATTGAGACAGTGATCCACTATTGAGGGTGAAGCGTGTACATGTGCGAGAGATTACCTTTGTACACCATAGAGTCGTAGTGGCATCATGGTCTGGGGGACAATGTATTTATCTCTAGGGGAGAACTTGAAATCCACAGACTGGGATTACGCCCCCTAGCCAATTGGCTGACTTTAGTAGTCCAATCATGAGGCCCGCAGTGGACTGTGGGACATGTGAATTATTGGGTCACTTTGAGAAAACTAGTGTGGATTGTGGTTCACAGTTGAAGGTAGAGCGTTCTTGTGTATTGATAAAAATCCTAGACCTATATGGATTTGATTCCCATCAAAATTAATTTTATATTATTTGATTTTTAGAATGTTTATTTGAATTTTTGTAAATCTTCTGATATTTTAATTTTGTCATTTGGATTTATAAATCAACAGAGATTCATTTATAAAGTTTTAAATAAACTAAGAGGTTTAAAGAATCTAAAAATCAAATTTTATTATTTGTAAAAGATATGTAGGACCTACCATTACACATGGGGGCCCATTTAATGTTTTTGTGGGATTGGTGGAGAGGCCACAATGGGTGGCACGTCCCACCCATGAGCAGGTGACCTCTTACTGAATATTGTGAGGGCATCTCCATGTTAGTTGGCTTTCCTAAATTAAGTGGGAAGTTGTCTTGCATATGGAATGAAATAAATGGTGTTAAAATATCTCTTGAATCAAGAAGGCTTGATTAAAGAATAAGGAATGAATATTTACTATAAGAGAAAGTAAAGAGATATTTTTTTTATTTAATTATTATGATAGGAATAGGTTTAGGAAGGGGAATATAAGGTTTTAACACTTTCCTTTGAATATTTATGGTAGATCAAAGGAATGGATGACTCATATTTTCATCTCACAAGTCTCCTTAGATCGACGGTCAAGATTCGATCTCATTAAAAATAGTGAACCCTAAGGTATAAAAAATCTATAAAAAAGACTTTCATCCCTTACTAAAATTTCTACACCAATTCTCTCTTCTCTCTCTAAAAATTGTCTCTCTCTCCAAGAATTTTAAAAAGGGCTTGCCCCAACCTAGGGCTTCATCTCTCTCTTTCCCTTGGTTTCAAGAGGGGGCACGCCCCAACCTAGACTATTCTCTTTGAATTCCCAAGAGGGCACGCCTAAGCTATCTTCTCTTTATCTCTCTTGTGGATTCTAAGGGGCACAACCTAGCTTGGGATTGGTTCTTGATTGGTGGGTAGCAAAGCCCTTGTTAGTAGATCTCTCAATCTCTATTTGATTTTTATCTCTCATCTCTCTAAAGATCAAGCCAATGGGGCTTGAGTAAGACCAAGGCATTGAGGCCTTAGGTAGTTGGTTCTAGATTGAGATCCATATGCTATTGAGAGTGTTTTTGCCATAGTAGGAGAATCAAAAGACCGATCATAGAATCTTAAGCACCATCGGAAGCAGGAGACTCGGCGTGGGGTGTACTAAGCCCCGTTGAGCTAATCTCCGGGATTTTTACTTTAAATTTTATTTTTGTGTCAAGCTCTTCTATTCTCATAAAGCAATGAGTTAATGTTTTGGTTGAAGGAATTGTAATTGTATTAAATAATGGTAGCAAGTGAGATATGTGTTTCTTTTTTTTTCTTTAGTTGTTTCAAGAGTTATTTATTTGTAATTGGACTTTGTGAGTGGTCTTGTCGATGTAAGAATAAGAAAAATATATATTTTTTTTAATTTATATACACTGTGATGTTGGATTTTCTTTAGTTGTTTCAAGAGTTATTTACCATTCTTTTGACAATTTGGGGATGATTTTAAAGAACCATCTAAGTCAAAACTAGAACTCGAGGCTTTTGTAGTAGACATGAGAGCTGATTTACCTTGTTGCATGAGCCATTCTATCTTGCTTTTTTATAACAAATCTGGGTTTTTTGGGGGTTAAGGGATCGAATACCTTTGTTTTCATGGTTTTGTGTTGCGCATTTCCCAGTTTTGTAGTAGGAGAAACAACTTTCCAGGTTGAAGGTGTCAGCCTCCTAGTCTGGGACGATCCTATTCTAGGGATGGATGTGTATGTGGTAAAAATCTTTCTCTATTTGTTTTGACCTTGATTTTGGTTTACTTTCCTATGCCAATGATATTGACTTTGGGGTTATCGATCGCCAACTTTTCTTTGCATTCATGCTCCCGTCGATGTCGTCATGCATGGAACCCCTAAGTGCGATCAAACATAACATCAGGCCGTTCCCACTCAAACTCGTTCTCTGATTTACGCTGATCTCCACTAGAACTCGCACAATATTGATATAAAACCGCAGAACTCATCTTGTTCAATGTATGATGTTGCAACCTTTCTTTTTGCAACAACTTTTTAACCATCTCGCACAAGATGGATATAAAATCGTAGAACTCATCTTGTTCAATGTGTGATGTTGCAATCTTTCTTTTTGCAACAACTTTTTAACCATCTCAGTCAAGTTGTCGATTTTCTTGTATATTTGGTCATGCTCGGTATTTTTACGATTGCGACCTCTACGACCATCCATCGTAGTCACTAACCCTTTCGAACCATGCTCTAATACCAAATGATGCAAAAAGAATATGGGAAATTAAATCCGGCCTTCTTTCGATCTTAAACAAGATAAATTCAACAATAATGGAGGAAAAATATGGTCGTAAATCAAACCATGGAAAAGAAGAAGCTATATTTGTTCATTCTTAAACAGACTGTCTTTGGAAAAATATCAAGTCTCATTTATAAGGGGAAAGTTCTACTTTAAATAAAAGACAATTAAAAATGAATAAAAAATCCAAAAGAATAGACTCTCTCTCCTACGTCAATCTCTATCACTCTCTCAACCACGTATATCTCTCTCTCCCCCACGTTAATCTCTCTCGCTCTCTCCCACAATTTTCTCTCTCTAGCTCATCTCATTTTCACGTGAATCTCCCTCTTTTTGTTACGAATGTTATTCACTTTCATTAAAAGGGTTACACAAAGGATATTACATCATCTGAAATGGTAAACGAGGATAAGGAACACCCCGTCAACCAATTGATCTGCTAAAGAGTTAGCCTCCCTAAAAACATGCTAGAAAGAGATAGTCAAACTAGCTGATAAGTCAATAATTTGAAGTGATATCGGTTTTAAGTCCCACGGAACCTTTTGCTTCTTATTGCACCATTGGATAACAATCATAGAATCATCTTCAATAATACAACTACCTAAATTTTTGCTGCAAAGGATGCGTAAACCATGATAAATAGCATACATTTAAGAAATATTAGCTATAGCAGTTCTAAGTGGCCCTGCATATGTAAAGACAATCTGGTCATTCTAGTCCCTCACCACTCTCCTGCCCCTGCTAAGCTTGGGTTTCCATAATTGCTCCCATCAAAAGTAAGCTTCAATAAACTTTGTGGTGGAGGGGGGTCCGAACACCCCTGATCCGAGTTTTGGTAGCACCTAAGGACATCACATTCTTTAGATTAACCAAAAGATCAACTTCTTAAATCCTCCATCCATCCTTTCTTGCAGCCAGTTAACACCATAATATATGTTTGCTCTTTTTTAAGACCACATCAAAGGACAGAGACTCCCTTTTAAAAGTTCTA